GTGGATACCACTCCTGCTTCCAAACTTGTCTTAAACTGGGAGATCAGCCAAACACTGTCCACCATGGATTACCATTCACAGCACAAGGTTCAACATTACAGCAACCCCAGGTTACCTCAGTATAGAATATTGACATAGATTTATAATTATGGTGAAATAATGCTAAATGAGAAAAATAAAACAACTAATCAAGAAGACAAAGATTCTCACCACTGGACCAATTGGCAGCATCAGGATGGATGCTGAAGAGATTGAGATTGTACACAGCTTTAGTTTGCTTGGCTCCATAGTCAACAGTCTTGGCACCAGCAGCCAGGAAATTAAAAGGCGCATTGCCATGGGAAAGTCTGCTGCTAGGGACCTCTCCAAAGTACTGAAGAGCAATGTTATCTCTCTGGAGACTAAGGTGCGTCTGATACAGGCCATGGTCTTCGCAATCACTTGTTATGCATCAGAGAGTTGGACAATGACCAAGGAGGATAGAAGGAGAATTGATGCCTTTTGAGCTGTGGTGCTGGAGAAGAGTATTGAGAATACCATGGACTACTAGGAAAACACGGATTTTTCCTGGAAAAGGTTAAACCGGGTGGCTCCTTGGAGGCAAGGATTCTGAGGCTCCGTCTAACATACTTTGGACATGTTGTGAGGAGAGGGACATCATGCTTGGGAGGGTGGAGGGACAGCACAGGAGAGGAAGGCCCTCTATGAGGTGGATTGATTCAGTGACTGGGATAAGTGGGATGGGAGTGTCAGAGACAGTGCGATTGGCACAGGACAGAGTTTAGGGCTGTTGTACATAGGGTCACTATGAGTCGCAAGTGACTCGACGGCACATAACAACAACAACAATGAATGGTAGTGTCAGTACTAGGCTGGCTCACCAACAGTTTGCTAATAGTCAACAACAATATAATGCACAAAGATTGTGAAGTTTTTCAAATAGTAACATTCACATTATATTTAAGTGTATAATAAATAGGCTGGTCTTGTTAAATGACATAGACTAAAAATATCAGTCTCTGACAGACTGGAGTTCTTTTAAAAATCTGTTCCTTCACCACAATCACAATTACTGGATTAGCAGACAGTGAGGTTGAGGCATATTAGTTAGAGTCATGCTAACTGCTGTAACAAATAAATCCCACCATTTTAACAACTCACAAAATGGAAGTTATTTTTCACTCTTGTAATCTGCCAAGGTGAGTATTTCTGATAACCCAAATAGTGGTGATTGTACTAGCCTCTAAGGATGGAGAGTACTTTGAATGACAGCATAAGACAAAGTGGAAAATCTCCATCTGCTTCTTAAAGCTTTGGTCCTAACGTGACTTACATCTCTCTGCTCCCCGTCCCTTAGACTGAACAGGTCTCAGGACTTCATCTGGTTGCAAGGGCCTCTGGGAAATGTAGTCCCTGACTGGGCAGCTTCGACAACCTAAGACCCCTCTGAGATCCTGGAGATTGAGCAACAGATCTGAACCCTGGTCTATCCTGTGCCATCCTCATCAACTCCAACACACCTAAGCCCATTGCTGCAGTCACTATGTCAATCTGTCTCACTGAAGGCCTTCCTCTCTTTCACTGACCTTTCCAAGCATGATATCCCTTTCCAAGGAGTAGACCCTCCTAACAACATGCCCAAAGTATGTGAGATAAATTTTGTCATCATTGCCTCCAAGGAGCATTCTAGCGGCACATTTTTTTTTCTTGTTTTTAACTTTAATTAGTTCTAGGTTGTACCACGGGGTACAACACTGGGGACACACATGGAATTCACACTAATGTGTACTCTCATGCTTCGGAAGGCACACATCTGGGAAATATGAGCAAAGACACACAGGAATGTGGGGAATGGCAGCAACCAGTTACAAATACACGCCTTTAAATGAATAATGGAGATATCCAATTAGGAGATTCCAGTCTCTCCAACAGCAGTCCATAAAATAAATCAAAAAATGTCTAAAGGCACAGAACATCATGACCACATAGTAGAATTATAAGGGCTTTCCCATGTTTTCTGTGTGTATAGTTTGTTATGATCCACACAGTCAAATGCCTTCGCACAGTGCACAAAACACAGACATTCTTGTTATTCTCTATTTTCAGTTCAGGTCCATCTGACATCAGCAATGGTATCTCTGGTGCCATAGCCTCTTCTAAACTCAGCTTGAACTTCTGGCAGTTCTCTGTCAAAGTATCGTTTTAGGAGGTTGAAGTGATGGTAGTATTAAAAAAAAGTAGCAAAAGAATTCCCAAGGAGTGGAAACCACAAGAAGGAAAGGAGACAAATACCCTCTATTTACTACTATTCAATACTATCGAGTTAGAACCCACTCATAGCTGACCCTGTAGTGGATTTTCAAGGCTGTAAATCTCACATGATTTGTCCATCTCTCTGCCTCAGACAAGCTGGTGAGTTTTAACTGTCTGCCTTTGGGTGGGCAGTGCAACTCTTTATGCACTAGGTCTTCGGAAATCCCTGACAATACAGCAGTAATGTCACACATCTCTCACTATCCAAAATGGATTATTGGAGTTTTCTCCTCTTCCCTAAAAGACTTCCTGAAGGTGTTTATAAGTCTCAAAGATTATCTCGAACTTCCAGTTGCCCTAAAGGGGAAATAAAGCACTGATACGTCACTTTCTGTCTGACAAAATATTCACAGGAATGCTTTTTAGACATACGTCTTCCCTATTCTAGGGTCTCCTAACACCCTCCATGGCTGGTTTTGTGCTGGATGATGCTAGGGACACCGTGGTGACCAAAACAAACCTTATCTCTGCCGTCTTGAAACTCACAGACCAATGGGAAAACAGACTTCACATTAAACAGGCCCATCATTTATGTGTTTGTGCATATTATATCATTTGGGGTCTATATTTGTGCCACACACTAGTATAGGCACTGGGGACATGTTCATGAACAAAAACGGACTAAAAGTCCTATTTCCTGACTCTCATATTCTGGTGTCACACCATATACCCTACACCATCCTCAACATTTCCCTTAAATGTTCCCAGTTCAAGCTCTACCCTATTCAATATTCAGGACAGAGCCATGGACCCAGGATGGTCCCCATTCCATTCCCCAGCTCATCAACTCCATATACCCACCTGACCCCACCTCTCTGCCCTATAACCCCATTCTGGTTCAGCACCACCACCCTCACCTGTCCCTATCCTTGCTCCAGCCTCTTTCTTAGCTCCCAGAGTCTCATTCACAGCCAACATCACGCCGCCATTCCTGTTGTATCTGACAATTATTTAGATAATCTACTCTCTACTAGACACAGAGGACATAATGGTGATGTTTTGCTTTCATTTTACTTGGATCCACCATCAACACCTGTGGTAGAAGGAGTAAAAAAAAAAAAGATGTGTTGCACTGGGGAAATCTGTTGTCAAGGATCTCTTTAAAGTACAAAAAGAGCAAAGACATTAGTTTAAACACTAGGCTGCACCTAATCCAAGTCATAGTATTTTAAATTCTTCTTATGCACATGAAAGTTGGACAATGAATAAAGATGACAGAAGGATTGACGCCTTTTAATTTTGTTGTAGGAAAAATATGTTGAATATTCCTTGAGCTGCCAAAAGAACAAACAAGTCTGTCTTGGAGGAAGTGCAACCAGAGTGCTCCTTAGAGGCAAGGATGGTGGAACTTACATACTTTAAGCATGTTGTCAGGGGGGAACAAATAACATGTTCCCTTGCAAAAAAGCTATCATGCTGGAAAAAGTAGAGAGTCAGAGAAAGAGAGGAAGACTCTCATCCAAAAATGAATTGACACAGTGACTATAACAAACGGGCTCAAGCAAGGTGGAGATGGCAAGGGCTGTGCAGGATAAGGCCAGGTTCAGATCCGTTGTTAACCCTTCGTCAACCCTTAGACCCCTAACTTTGTTGAGTGAAAGGCTAAGGAGGCATCTCAGAGCCCTTTCTGAAACTGAGTTTTCCTCAGCTCTGGTTTCACACCCACTCATTCTCACAGCCATCTTGACTTTGGTTCTAATGGACTCTCCAGAACTCCAGGCTTAGTATCCAATACTTTCTGAGATGCACTTCCTGTGTTCCAAATCAACCAGTCCCTGCTACTTATTCTGTACCATTGATGATGATTCAGTGTCTAGAAGCAACATGAAGCTCCTGTGATCCCCAGGCCCAGTCCCAAGGTCACCAGAGGTGGGCATAATAATTGTAATATGCATATGAGGGGCTAAGCACAAAATTTCAATAGTAGCTAAGAAGACCTTCTCTGTTCTTTTTATGGACTATTTCAAGAAATAGAAAGTATAGACTGTTAGATTTTGCATGAGCCATCTATAAATCCTGTATCTACTCATCCCAGTTGGCAGAGGAGTATGCCAAAGCTCCTTCCATTTCCTTCCTTATACACGTCGTGTAATTGGACTGGCTTTGCGTCGCTCGCTCCATGGGAGACTCCATTTGGGCAACACCATCCAAATACGGTGGTGCATTTATCTCTCCCACTGAACTCTGCGTATATGCAAGCCGAAGATCGAAGATCAGGGCTCCTGAGGTGACCGATGCGTACCCCGCAGAGCCCAGCACGAGGTCAGCAGGCAATTCCTGGAATGGTTTGCAAGAAAGGAAATGTTCCTGGAAGAGTGTATGCCAGGGAGATATTAGAGCCAGTACTTTCTGCCTTGTGGCCACTACACAAACAAACGTAAGACACCTTTCTGAAACCAAATAGCAGTATGACCAGCATTCCTCGATTCTCTTTATGTTCTCCGCAGAGAAGGCACTGAGGTCTTCCTCATCTCATTCCCGTTTCTCCCCATCTCCTTTACAACTTCACTCATTAGGACCCATGCTGGAGGAATGCGAGACAAAATCCTCAATAGGACAGAGGCCCGAGGACCAGCCGAACGCCGGTCTCCGGTCAGCTGGCCAACCGGCTTCCTCACTGGAGGCGCGTTGCTGACGTCAGATTTGGGCGCCGCGCTTGAACCTGTGCTGGGGGCGACGGGGTTGACATGGAGCTAGAGCTGAAAGCGCGGAAACTGAGTTCTTGGGCCGCAGAGGAGATGGGAGCGCCCGCAACTGCCCGAGCCTCGGAGGCGACGCTGCGCAGGTGAGACCCGCTCCGGAAATGAGGCCCTGGAAAAAGGGAGTGAAGATCTCGCCCCAGGGATGAGGATCCCGAGTTGTTGAGGGCGCCCCACTCTGGCAAGTAGCATGCGCGGGGGAAGAGGATGTGAGTAAGGCTGTTTAGGTGGTGACCCCCACACCGCCGCACTCCGTGTAGCCCATCTATACTGAGATACTCTGCGAGTAAGTGATGGAAGACATTCCCTGTGAGGAAATAGGAACTCCAGAATAAAGATGACCCTGCAGCAGTTCGTTTCTCCTTCCCTCGGCCAATGAAGACATTTGTTGTTGTTAGGTACTGTGAAGTCGGCAGCGTCTCAGAGCTACCCAGTGAACAACAAATCTGAAACATGCCAGATCCTGCGTCATCCACATGATCGCTGATGTTCACATTGTAACAGTCACTATGTCAGTCCATCTGATTGAGGGTCTTCTCTCTTTCTCTGACCCTCCACTTTAGGAGTTAGCAAAAGCCACCTCCTGGGGAATTTTGCCTATAGGAATGATTCCCCATTCCTCTCTGTGAGCGGAAACTTGTAGCAGCCCTTGTCCCACTACCAACTCGGAAAATAACTGGAGAGAACTACCTCCCACGAGAAGGGGAGGACCCCAGCAGAGAATACCCTACACACATATCCAATGAGAAGTCTACCTGCTTAGTGACTGGAAACTCCCAGGGAGAGAAGCAAAAGTGAAAAGTACAGAGAAAAACTGGATGAATTATGTTTACGGCATTGAAGTCTATGGGGGAGAGAATAGTCTAAAAGTATTATATTTTAGGGCATTATTTTTATCGTAGGAGTATGCAATGAGGGTTGCAGAGTGGATTATATTTGGGGAGGGGGGGGGGGGGTGGGGAGCTGCGGGGGGATTGTGTACCAATGAGGGAGTTTTTCTTTTGCTTTTCAAGGAGAGGAGCAAATAGGGGGGGAGGGGGGAGGGGTTTGTGCGGGGAGAAGGGTGCAACAATGAGTGAATGGAATCCCAAAATCTCTGTAGATGTTCATTGAAATGAAAAATAAACAACCTAAATTTAAAAAAAAGAAAAGAAAAAAACAACCCAGCCCACAATGAATGGGAATGATTGTATGAAACACAATGTGAATGAAGGATAGTGTGAAACACAAGGTATATAAACTTTGTATGCAAATTAAAAAAAAGTGAAAAGTACACACCCGTTCTCCTCTGAAATTGAGAATTCCCTGTTGCTACCCTAAGAGGGGGGATCTTCCACCTTGTGTGATATTCCAGGCAGACTCTTCTATGCTATTCCCACAGGCTGTGTCTGGGCCAAGGAGCTCACATCTGGGCCTACATCTTGCAGCATGTGCATAGCCAGAGGTGAGCCCTCTGGATGAGGTAGACTGGGGTGGGAGAGGGAAACAGTTAAGCCCCACAGTAACTCCACTTCTTCCTACATTCCCAATCTAGGAGTGTCAAGAAAGTCCGGGGAAACTTGCTCTGGTAACTAGCCTCCTAAACTGTCCCTTCTTATTTCCTCCAGTCCCTTCTAATCCCATCTCCACCCACAGCCTCACACCTCCTGCCCTCCCTCCCTGGTGAAGCTCTCACCATCCCCTGACTCTGTCCTCATTTCCTTAGGTATGGCCACCAGGACAGTTCAGAGGTGAGAATCCTATGCTACAAGATTTTTTTTTCATCGCAAAAGGACTTGTTCATGTATTCTAAGCCTAGTCATGTGCTGAGTTATGCTAGGGGAACTCAGTCACACTACAACCATGATTCCTGCACAGTTCAAGGACAGACAAATATGAGTTAGGGAAGTGGGGAGAGATCTTGCCCAGAGGTAGAGAATGAGTAATAGGGCATCAGAGAGGATATAGGAGATAGGAAAAGAGATAGTTTTTGTGAGAGCAGTAGGAAGTCCATGGGGTGACTGCTCTGGCAATACCCATGAGGAAACTTCCAGGAGGTTCCAGGATTTTCAGACGTGAAGTTCAGGAAAAGGTCAGAACTGGATCAGAGACATGAATGTCATTGGTGCAGAGACAGGATGCAGTCTAGAAGGGTGGGCGAGACAGTCCTGGGGTGAGGAGAGGCCTAGGACAGTGCATTAGTCAGGGGCAGAAACTGACTTTGCCATTCTCCCCTGGCAAAATGAGGAGCCTAGTGCTGCCAGAGGGACAGTTAGGCTGGACTAAGCCTAGACCAGACTGCATATCTCACCCAGTATCTGATCCCACCAGGCCCATCGGAAGTTGGAACTAAAAGCCACTGTGGCCCGCCTGCGAGCAGAGATCCAGGAGTTAGACCAGAACCTGGAGCAGATGGAGCAAGACACTGAGGCTCAGGGTGACCCAGGGGGTTGGGCTGATGTACAGGGGAACCTGGAATTGGGGAGGTATTTATGGCTACCCTGTCCCTCTCATGGAGCCATGGTAGTGTAGTGTTTAAATGCTCAATTGCTAACTGAAAGGTCTGTGGTTTAAACCAACCAGCTGCTCCAAGGAAGAAAGATGTGGCAATCAGCTTTCATAAAAATTACAGCCAGAGAAACCCTATGGGGCAGCTCTATTCTGTCCAGTAAGGTCACTTTAAAGTGACTTAAGTCAGAATCAACTTGATGGGAATGAGTTTGTATTTCTGTGTTCTTGCCACAGATATAGCTGTGGAGCAAACACTGCAGAGGATCCAGACTACTCAGCACCATGCCCTCCTCTTCTGGGCCCAAGCCAGAGCCATGCAAAGACAACAGCGTGGGCTCCAAGGTTCCCTGCAGCAGCTGCAGAATCAGCTAAGTCGCCTACAGGATATTGAGAGGTGGGCCTCACCAGGATGGGAAGAGCCTCACCATGCCTTTTCCTTAGAGATGCTAGTGCCCTACCGCATACCCTTCTTGGATCTCATAATTGTACGCTTTCACCCTTAAGGTTTAAGCTCTATGAAGCCAAGACTTGACCTGATGCTTCTATATCCCCAGTGATTAGAATAGTGCAGACTCTATGTCTAACATACCAACATTACAAAATAACAGTAAATGAGGGAAATGTCTCTGCCCTCTGGGAGGTCACACTCTGGTGGGTCAGGGGATGAGGATTGAGGGAGATATAAACTAAGAAAACAAACCAGTCACATAATTTCTTGTAGAGATAAATGCTAGGAAGAAAAGGGTAGTGTGTCAAAAAGGGAGTGAGGGATGCTACTTTATCTAAGATGGTTGGGAAGGCCTCTCTAAGGAGGTGGCAACTAATTGGAAGAATATCCATAAAGAGAAAACAGTAAGACCAGAGGCTTAAAGCTGAAGAATAGTCAGGAGGCCGGTGCAATTTTATAGATAAGAAGGAGAGCATCAACAAGTGAGGTTGGTATGGTGGCTACAATGTCCAGTAGGCATTGAGGTTTTGCTCAAGACTCAAGAGTTCTTGCCCTTGCTAGAGCAATGCATTTAACCTCATAGGACAGATAAGATAACTGCTGTTGTTGGGTGCTTTCAACTCAACTACAACACATAGTGATCCTAGGAACAACAGGTCTGAACCACTAGGCTCGAGCACATTGTTCCAGCCACTGTGTGAATCCATCTCCTTGAGAGTCTTCCTCTCTTTCTCTAACCCATTGCTTTTCCCAGCATGATGTCTTTTTTCAAGGACTAGCATCCCATGACAACATGCCCATAGTACATGAGGTGAAGTTTTACCATCCTTGTGTCTAAGAAGCACTCTGATTGCACTTCCTCCAAGACAGATTTGTTCTTTTGCAAACCATGGTATATTCAGTACTCTTTTCCAGCACCACAATTAAAAGACACCAATTCTTCTATCCTCCTTATTCATTATCCAGCTTTAAGAAGCCACTGAAAATACCATGGCTTGCATCAGGCACACTTAGTCTTTAGACTGCCACTGTTGCTTATTAGTACTTTGGAGATGTCTCGAGAGCAGATTTCCCAATGCAACATACTTTTTAATTTCTTGACTACTGCTACCATCCGTGTTGATTGTGGATCTAAGTAAAATTAAATCATTAACAACTTCAGTCTTTTCTCGGTGTGTCATGATGTTGCCTGTTGGTTCAGTAATGAGGATTTTTGTTTTCTTGATGTTGAGATGTAACCAATATAGAAGCCTATAGTCTTTGATTTTCTGTAATCAGTACTTCAAGTCTTCTTGAATATGATAACTAAGTGAATTAAATCTTGTTAAAGCTTGTAGAAGAGAGCCTGTTAGCTATTACTAACCTCAGTGTGATGGTAAAGTATCACTTATTTTAGGAGGTTTTGAGTAGAACAATAACAATCCACTTTAAAAAAAAATTATTGGTTCAGTATTAACATTTCACTTGGTAGCGTAACTTTCTATCCTCTAGGCCAACAGAGCTCTCTCTATGACTCACAGCAATTCTGTGAACAACAGATCTAACCCTTGCCTTATCCTACGCCATCCCCACAATCCCCACATGCTTGAGCCCATTGTTACAGTCATCATATTAATCCGTCACGTTAAGGATCCTCCTTTCTTCTCTGACCTTCCACTTCTCTCAGCATGATGTCATTTCCCAAGGACTGGAAGCTTAACTGTTGTTTGTTGTTATTAAGTGCCGTGAGTCATAGACAACTCATAGTGACCCTATGAACAAAAGACCTGAACACTTGTGTAATTTTCATTGTTTCTCTAAATTCATAGTTTCTGGAGGCAAGCTATTTCAGAAGTGGATGCCACTCCTGTTTCTAAGCCTGTTTTAATCAGGGAGCTCCACCAAACACTGTCCACCATGGGTAACCATTATCACATTTGACACATTTAGTGTCACAGTGTTTAGCATCACAGCAACCACGAGCTACCTCTGTTAAGGTAAGTTAAGGTTTCAGTCCTTGGGAAATGACATCATGCTGAGAGAAGTGGGAGGTCAGAAAAGAAAAGAGGATCCTCAACCGGATGGAGTGATAGAGTGACTCTAACAATGGGCTCGAGCATGTCTCCAGTTGTGGGGATGGCGTAGGATAGGGCAAGGGCTAGATCTGTTGTTGATAGATTTGATGTGAGTCATAGAGCTCTGTTGGCCAAGTGGATAGAAAGTTATGCTACGGCCCTCAGGCCTGGTTTTAATTGTTTTTGGTCAAACATTCCTCTAAGCGGTACAGCACTGATCTGTCCATTTGCTATACAGAGGTAACTCATGGTTGCTGTGATACTAAACACTGCAACACTGATGTGGCAAATGCAATAATGGTTACCCAAGGTGGGCAGTGTTTGGTGGAGCTCCCCGATTAAAACAGGCTTGGAAACAGGAGTGGCATCCACTTCCAAAATAGCTTGCCTCCAGAAACTCTGTGAACTTAGAGAAACAATGAAAGTTATACAAATATTCAGGTCTTTCATTCATAGGGTCGCTATGAGTCGTCTACAACTCAATGGCACTTAACAACAACAACATTGTATTTCACACTATTCTTCATTCACATGGTGTTTCATATAATCATTCTCATGCATTATGTGTCATGAAATCAATCACCTTTGGACCTTGCCCATCATTGCTGTCTTTTTGCCAAGATCCATTCTGTTTCCTTGCTTCCCCCCACTAAACTGTGCAACAACCCTGTGGTTTCACCCCTACCTATCCTCACTCTTCCACTAACAATCCACTCTAGATTGTAAAAGAATTACTGATTCTGACTGAAGAACTGAGTTTTCTACAAGGAGATGAGTGAAGAATTTAATACAGTAGTCCAGGTGGGAGAGGATCATAACCTGATTTTAGATGGCAGCTGCTGGGATTCGGGTAGTCTCAGTAACCAGAGGGAGAAGAGGGAATGGGACATAAACATTGTTATCCCAGCTCCAAGGACCTTACACATCACTGCACTCTTCTCTCCAGGAAGGCCAGAGTCGATGTGATCTTTGGATCCCTGAAGTCATCAACCCTGAGTGTGGAGCCTGTGGTCCTGGTAAGGATCCTGACCTTCAAGAGGAAGGGTGGGGGGAGTCTGGGTCCAGCAGGATGGACTCCTATGGTCTCACTCATGCCCCATCATCTTCCCCTAGTGTGATGTCCGAACAGCCTGCACACTCCGAGTCCAGTTTTTACAGAGCCTTCTAAGTCCCCAGACCAAGGGAGGCAGCAACCTGTGAGTGTCCTAGACACCCAAAAAATAATTTGGGCTTTGGGTGTCATTTGTTTGTTAATTCTTCAAACACCAAGCTTCTGGCCAGTATCAGCCCCATGCCTGGCCCATCAGGGCTTCTAGGTAGGAAGTAGGGATGAGGGTGACCTCTTATAGACAGTGGCACCCAGGAAAATAAGGCTATAAGAATGGGAGGAGTGCTTGGGAGGCTCTGGGCACTCAAAAGAGGCATCTGGCCCAACCTAGGGGGCAGAAAGGAAGTATTCTCTGATGAGGACACTTAACTAGGGTAAAGGCTGTCCCAAATAAACTGTACATACAAAAGGCCAAAGCAGCAAGTTGTAACTGGGCAGTTGCCATTGGGCAGCTCAAGTCTAGCAGGCATAGATGGATTTGGTTTCCTCATCTATAAAAATGAGGTCCCGACAGCCTCTAGTTTACAAAGCGACTGATAAAATTATCAAAGGGATGATCATTTTAAAGACCAAGGACCACCCCTTCCTGCCAGTATGACCAAAGTATGCAAGATGAAGTTTTACCACCTTTGCCTCTGAGAAGCATCCTGGTTGTACTTCCTCTAAGACAAATTGATTTGTCCTTTAACATTCTCTGTCCCCCTGCCCACACACAGGACCCCTCATGATGACCACTTTGGAACTTCCTATCAGCAGTGGCTTGGCTCAGTGGAGGTAAGAATGGGGAGGTGAGGAGTTGTGGGACAGTCAGGGGTAGAAAAAGACCACATCTTCCAGCACTGTATGTTTGATCCCTACACTGAGCCTCAAGGGGCCCCAGCTCAGAGCCCTGCCCCCATCTTGCCACTGACCTCACCCAACCTTCTCCACCAGACATTATTGACAAACTACCCCCCAGGCCACATCCTGGCTGCTATGGAGCATCTGGCTGCAGAGCGGGAGGCAGAGATTCGGTCTCTGTGCTGCAGGGATGGGCTCCAAGAAATGGAGATGCCCAGGTATGGAACAGAATGGTTGGGGCAGGTAGTTCTGAAGGTGAGCTGGGGGAAAGAGTAGAGCAGGTATGGAACCTGTGGTAGGGAATGAATGAGGGGGCTGAGCTAAAACTGGCTCCTCCTAAGTTCCAAGGCGAGGGGACAGGGATCTTCATCAGCTGCTCTGCCCCCATCCCCAGGCCCCAGGCCCTGGACCAGTCAGATGCCAGCCAGGCATTGCCATCCATGGTGCTTCTCATCCAGGTGACCAGGAGCTACTCCCTCCCATCCCAAAACCAGTCCTCCCATCCCCGTAGACCCTGCTCACTCTGACAGCATGCTGCCTCCTAGGAGGGCTGGCGGGCTGTGAGCATGCTTGTCACCCAGCGAGGCCCCCTCCTGAAGGAACATAAAGCCCTGGCCCAGCGTCTCCAGGACCTGATGGAGGAAATGAAGAGAAGGACCCCAGGATCCAAGGAGAGGTAAGGGGTCTCGGGAGAGGCCTCTTGGTGGTCTTATGCTATTGGACTCTTTTCTTCCCATTGCTCTATCTCTGCTTTCCCTCCCCTCTGGCTTTACCTCCATGCACCTTCTCTTCCCTCTCCCTGCCCTCACCAGTGTGAGAATCAGCAGCTTTCCTGTCATCCACTCCTCTTGTCCCTAGGCAGGCACTGATACTGGGGCTCCAGGGCTGTGGGCTGTGGGCTGAGCTCAAAGCCTTGCATGCCCAGAGCCAGGAGCTGGCAGAGGCGGCTGGACAGCGGCATCTTCTGCTGCGGGAGCTACAGGCCAAGCAGCAGCGCATCCTGCACTGGCGCCAGCTCATGGTGAGGGACGGAGCCTCTCCGAGATAGGGAAGGCCAGGTGGAGGGCCACAGAAAGGCTTGCAGCCTTGTGACCAAAAACCAGGCCTCCTGATGAGGAGCAGGGTTAGGATGAGGTACACAGGTGAGACTTACAAGAGAAAGAAAGCAGACTGTGGAAAAGGACTGGCGGGGCCTGAAGCCAGAGGCAGGAAGGGAAAACAACAGGACTCAGAGGCCCCCTGGTTCCACAGGAGGAGACACAGGAACAGGTCTGCCTGCTTATCAAGGGGAACTCAGCCAGCAAGACCCGCCTGTGCCGAAGCCCTGGTGAGGTAAGACAGGAGTTGGAACAAGGCTTGGGTCCCCAGGCTGGATTGAGGGCTATGGCTTGTCCTGTGGACAGCAGGCAGAGAACAGGGGCTGAGTGAGCTCAGTCTCCTCTTCTCTTCCCCTCCCTGCCCCCAGGTGCTGGCTTTTGTGCAGCAAAAGATGGTCCCCATGTCTGAGGTGGTGGCACCACAGAGCCAGAAGCTGCTTCGCTGTCTGGAAGAGGAGGCCCAGCATCTGCCCTGCCTACGGTTGGACAACCTGCTGCGACACAACCCCGAAGAGTAAGACCAGGGCTGCCCCCATGTTCCCTTCCCCTGGATGAGACTCAGGCCTGCCAAAATGCTAACCCCAGATTGCTAATTCTCCCAGAAAACCCCCTACTGTAGCACCCCACATCACTTCCTGGTTCCTGAACCTCTGACTGCACCTCTAAGCCCCCAGAAACTGACCCTCTTTTCTGTGCCTTGCTCAACCCAGAGTTTCCCCCCAGGTTGAAGTTGCTGCCCACAGTCCTACCGTCCATCTACCACCTACACCCGGCATCCCCCAGGGGCTCTAGCCTCATAGCACTGAGCCGCACGCTGGGACTGCCCCCTGGGAAGGTGAGTACCCTAACCCTAACCCTCAGACCTGTCCTCCCCCAGCTCCTACTCTGCTGTGCCCACGGTAACTGTCCTTCCACCTCCTGCCCCAGGCCCCAGAGCTGCTCCTTCCAAAAGCCGCCTCTCTCTGCCAAGACCTCCTGTTTATCCAAGACCAAGGGGGTCTCCGGTGCTGGAATCTGCTGCATATGAAGACAGCCCTGCCATCTGGACCGTCCACCCAGGGTAGTCCTGCCCTACTTCCAGGGCCCAGCATCCCTGACCATTTCCAACCACCCCCGCCTCCAGAAGGAATAACGACATCAGTCACTCACATATCATGTGCTTAGTGCTTTAAGCGTGTTCACTTGCTTGCCCTAGCCAGCAGCTCCATGAAGCTGTTTTTCTCCTCGTTTTACAGAGGAGCTAACTGATCCCCAGGGGGCTCACCTAGCCTGCCTTGAGGTTGGAGCTGGGAACTGAATCCAGGCAGTCTAATGTGGGTCTGTGCTCTCAGTCATGAACCCATACTGCCTATCAGATTGAAAGTACCTGCCCCAAAGAGCATGAGAGAGTGAGGCTGGAAGCTTAGGAAGGAAACTAAGAGGACAGAGGGGAAGGAAGGAAAGTGGAAGCTGAGCAGTAATTTGTGGAGATTGACAGGGGAAAGATTAATGTGTCCAGCGTGAGGCCTTAAACTCTAGTCTGGTGGGTGGTGGAATTTTGAGACAAAAGCCTGGAAGAAGAAAAAGGTTTGGAAGCAATTCTGAGGTCAAGACTTTAAGTAGAGCCTTGATGGCCATATCCTGTGAGGCATGAAGGAGCGAGAGGCTTCAAGGTTGCCTCTATGTTTCTCACCTCCAGAGTTGCTGCAGATCCACACATCCCAGGAAAAGGAGCAGAAGAAGAATCTGGGGAATGTTCTGAATTGGTTGGACAATCTGTTGAAACAGGCACTGGACCGAATCCCTCAGCTTGAGGGAGCTGTGGGAGACTGGTGAGATGAGAGGGCAGTGAGACCAGAACTAAGCAGGGTGGAAGTCAGGACTGGAAGAGGGAGCGGGTAAAGGGGAGGCCAGGGAAGGAAGGTCTGGAGTCCCAGGCCTTCTCTCTGACACCATCTCCTTCCCAGGTGGGAGCAGCCAGGCCAAGCTGCCGTCTCTGGGGAGCACTGCCAGGGTTTGTCCCTGCCCCAGTGGCGGCTACGCTGGGTCCAAGCCCAGGAGGCCCTACAGAAGCTATGCAGATGAAGATGAGACTTGAGCAGGAATCAAGAACATCACATATGTTCACCTTACAACCCACTTACCCCAATAAAACTCTCAGAAGAAAGCATTTGTGGGTTTATCAGCCCACTGTGCCCACAACTGTTGTCCCTCCTTCCAGTCTATACTGCTGCTCATCTCAATTCCTTCGCCTCATGTCCTTAGTCCTGACAAAGCCAAGAGAATGGAGTACTCTGGATCCCACCCTGAAACACTTATCACTTTCCCACTCAGCAAAAAAAATAGTTGAGGATACAGCACTGAACAAAACTAACTAAAGTTCCTGCATTCAAGGAGTTGTCATTCCTGGGCAGAGAGACAAACTTTAAGTGTCAGGATAAATAAGCAAAATGCAAAGTATGTTAGAAGAATCGCTGTATAGAAAAACACAGCAGGATGATGGAGGGGCAGACTTAAACAGAGGGCTTGTACAAGAGCCACAGTGTCAGCTGCCCTGAGGCCAAATCTAGATCATACTTTACAGCACCACAATACACAGACCTTGATAGAATGGGAGAGAAATGGGAAACAGGACTTCAAATTCCTGAAAAACAGATCTGCTACACAGGTTGGGACTGGAGAAATCCCCAAGACTGACCCTGAGGAGGGAGCTCTGATCGCTCAGTGAATCCACCAGGGACTCCATGGGCAAAAGATGGGCAATCTCCTCCCATCAGTTTACTGGCTTTGAAAACCAACTGGAGATTTAGCCATGGGCCACTTCTGACTCGACAGTACACAACATTACCCTGAAATTTCCTTCAGACCTTGAAGTGAAACTAATTCAGTATCACCTTAGTGGTATTTTTAAGTGTCGTCAAGTTGCTTGTGACCCAGCGACCAGCTCTGAACCCTGCTCCATCCTTTGCCAACCTCATCATCTCCAACACACCCATCCCCATTACCCCAATCACTGAGTCAATCCATCTCATCTATCTCTCTTGCACTGTCCCACTACCCTCCCAAGCATGATGGCCCTCTCCAACAACTGGTCCCTCCTGGAAATATGCCAAGATGGAGCTTCAGAATCCTTGCCTCCAAGGAGCAACCTGGTCTCACCCTCTCTTGGATGAACCTGTTTGTTCTCCCAGCAGTCCATGGTATATTCAATACTCGTCTCCAGCTACAGCTCAAAGGCATCAGTTTTATTATCCCTAATCATTGTCCAGCTGTCTTACACTTTTTGTTTTCCTGGCTCAATCTCTTCACCATCTATGATGATGTCAATTGGCCCAGTGGTGAGAATCTTTGTTTTCTTGATGTTGAGCTTCAATCCATATTGAAGGCTGCAGTCCTTGACCTGCAGCAAATTTCTCTTAGCCTCCTTAGTTTCAGCAAGCTAGGTTGTGTCATCTGTGAAACGTAGTTTGTTGATGAGTCTTCTTCCAATCCTGATGCCATATTCCTCATACAGCCCAGCCTCCTGGATGATCTGTTCCACATATAGAATGAAAAGGTATGGATATAGGATGCATCCCTGGTGTACACCTTTTCTGATTTTGAACCATGTGTTTCCGTGCTCTGTTCAGATGACTGCCTCCTGGTCCAAGTATAGGTTTCACATAAGCACAGTCAAATGTTCTGGGCTTCGCTTTCTCAGTTAACCAGTTTGTTGTGATCCACGCAGCCTTTGCATACTCAATATAACACAGACATTCCTCTAGTATTCTCTGCTTTCAACCAAGATACATCTAATGTAGCTACATTAAAATTCTTAGAAGATGTGTGTTGAGATGGAAAGGGAGAGGGAGGGAAATGTGCAACAATGAATGAATGAAAATCCAACTTGTCTATAAACATCCATTAAAATCACAATTAAAATTTTTATTAAAAAATGTATGTTGAATATTAAGAGGAATGTGTTTGTAACCAAAAGCCTAAAGTGACTAGGAGTTCAAATCCACCAGCTGCTCAGTGGGAGACAAATGGACAGTAACCTTCTATTGGGAGAATGGTGATGCCAGAACACCTGACTCTGCTCATTTGTAGCCCCTACTTGGACCAGAAAGCACTCATCAGAACAGAGCAAGGAAACACTGCATAGTCCAAAATCAGGAAAGGAGTGCATCAGGGATACATCCATTCTCAATACCTTTTCAAGGAGGCTGGACTTTATGAGGAAGAATGTGGCATCAGAATTGGAGGAAGACTAATCAACAACCTATCTTATACAGATGACACAACCTTGTTTGTCAAAACAGAGAAAGACATGAAGTATTTGCTGCATAAGTTCAAGGACTGTAGTCTTCAATACTGAAGAACAACATCAAAAAAAGATTCTCACCACTGGACCAATTGGCAGAACCATAATAAAAGGAGAAGAGATTGAAATTGTGAACAATTTCTGTTTGCTTGGCTCCACATTCAACATTCTTAGCACCAGTAATCAGGAAATCAAAAGACGAATTGCATTAGGGAAATGTGCTGTAGGGACCTCTCCAGAGTGCTAAACAGCAACTATGTCAGTTTAGAGACTAAAGTATGCCTGAGCCAGGCCATGCTCTTCAAAATTACTTGCTACACATCAGAGAGCTGGGCAATGACAAGGGTGACAGAAGAATCAATACCTTTGAGTTGTGGTGCTATAAAAGAGCATTGAACATATGGACTGCCAAGAGGACGAAAGCAAATTACTCACTGGAGGCAAGGATTTTTTATTTTTTTTATTTTTTTTTTTTTTGAGGCAAGGATTTTTAAGCTCGTCTCACATACTTAGGGCATGTTGCCAGGAGAAACCAGTCCTTGGAGAAGGACAGACATTATGCTTGAAGGGAAAGGGTCAGGGTGGGATAGGAAGACCCTGATGAGATTGATTGACACAGTAACTGGGATAAGGGGGACAGGAATGTCAGGGACAGTGAGATTGGTAGGGCATGGTTTAGAGCTATTGCACATAGGGTCCCTATGATTCATAGGCTACTCCACTGCACATAACAACAATATGGAGACAGGTTTGCTAGGAATCTACTTGATAAAAGTGAGTGTATGTATGCATCTTCCTTTCAGGTAGTTAAGGGGTTAAAAAGTAAATGCTGTTGTTGTTATGTGCTGTCAAGTCACCTGCAACTCCTAGTGACCCTAGGAACTCTGAAGCCTGCCCTTTCCCAAGTCAGTATCACTGATTCCGACACACTTACCCTTATTTCCCCAATTACTGTATCAAATTTATCTCATCCAAGGTCTTCCTCTGCTGCATTGTCCCTCCATCCTTCCAAGCACAATGGCCTTCTCCAAAGACTGGTTCCTCCTGGCCATATTCCCAAAGTATGTGAGATCTTCAAAATCCTCGCCTCCAAAGAGAAACTTGGTTTTAGCCTCTCCAAGTTAGACCTGTTTGTTTTCTAGGCAGTCCATGGTATGTTCAAGACTCTTCTTTAGCACCACAACTCAAAGTCATTAATTCTTCTTCTGTCATCCTTAGTCATTGTCCAGCTCTCTGATGCATAGCAAGTAATCATGAAGACCGTACCTTAGTCTCTAGACTGACATCATTGCTTCTTAGTACTCTGATGAGGTCCCTGACAGCAGATTTTGCCAATGTAATTTGTCTTTTGATTTCCTGACTGCTGGTGCTAAGTGTGTTGATTGTGGAGCTGAGCAAGTTGTAATTGTTAACAACTTCAATCTCTTCTCCTTCTGTCATGGTGCTCCAATTGGTCCAGTGGTGAGAATCTTTGTCTTCTTTATGTTGAGCTTCAATCTTATTGAAGACTATAGTCCTTGACCTTCTGCAGCAAGTGCTTCAGGTTCTCCTGTTTCAGCAAGCAAGGCTGGGTCATCTGCATAACACAGTTATTGATGAGTCGTCCTCCAATCTTGATGCCACATTTCTCTTCATAAAGCCCGGCTTCCCAAATGATCTGTTCTGTATATAGATTGAAAAGGTTTGATGCAACCCTGATGCACTCCTGTTTTTGAACTATGCTGTTTCCTTGCTCTATACTGAGAACTGCTGCCTGTTTCAAGTAGGTTTCACATGAGCACAATCAAGTGTTCCGGGATTCCCATTCTTCTCTAAATTAGCCACAATTTGTTGTAATGGACACAGTCAAATACTTTCATAATGTAGCAGTCAAATGGCTTTGCAATGTAGCAAAATATTTTAAAGTAAAAAGTGAAAGGTTTCCGATCGAATCCAAGAACCAGCCTAGGTAGAGATAGAATTCTTCTCAAAGTTTATTGCATACGGGGCTACTCATCAAGGGCACTAGCACTGGGTGTTGGGTTTAGGGGGTTTATATGAGGTCATTGCAGTGGCTCATTAGTGCATTAAGTTTCTGGTCTTCGGAAACTGGTTCTGGAAAATGTCCTGACGTAGGATTTTCTGAGTTCTGGTTTCATAAAAATATCCTGACATAAGATTTCTGAGTTCTGGTTTCGGATGTCCTACCTTAGAGAGTTCTGAGTTGAGCTTCAACCTCTATTTTTATTTTTAGCCTAAGAAAAGTAGCAAATAAATGTAGCAAAATATTTTAAAATTAGTCAACTCTGCTTTTCTATCCATCTAGCTTTTTATCCCCCCAACTTTGCCTTAGGTTTTGAATAAAACATGGGAATATGAATAAACAAAAAAAGGCATTGTGTTGTTGAAATTGAGGTGTACATGGGGCTTCATTATATTATTCTCTACGTTCGTTTTACAGTAAGTAGGGCAATGGGAGGGGGGTAGATGTGTCGGAATCAGAGAGACTGGCTCAGGACCGGGCAGGCTTCAGAGCCTTCAGAGTACATAGACAGGGTTGCAATGAGTCGTAGGCGACCCGATGGCACATAACATTCTTGCGTGCAGTTGAAAATACTAAAAAATATTTCGGAAACTTAAAAAAAAAAAAAAAAAAAGGATCCTTTGGGTCCCAGTAAAGAACACAGCTATCAAACCGGCACCTGCATCCTTCTGAGCTTATTGATGCCTGTGGTTACACTCTAGCCATATGTCTCCCATTTTAGCCTGGCAAATGCATTCTTAAACTTAAGAAGTCATCTCCACCAGGAAACTTGGGTCAGAGCTTCGCTAATCACGTTCCCTTCCCAGTAGCTTGACTATGACTCCAGACAGGTAAGCTCTGATCTCCATCCTCACTCAACTCCGCATAGTGATTCGTATCCGTTGACTTAAAAGTTCCGGCGGTCCATAGGCGGGGCCTCTCAACTTTCCTGCGTTCTCAGAGGTCCAGATTCCGACCAATTGACTACTAAGCTCTCATTAGTTCGTGTTTGTTCCGGGAGCCTTGTTGCTGCACTCTCATAGGCCTAAGGTTTTGCGTGATTCTTTTTGGCACTCCCATTGGTCTAATTCCCTTCTTGAGGCGGACTCTCGGCTTGTACCGGTTCTCATTGCTCTAGCTTCTACTCGAAAGGCGGGCCCTTGGTGACGTCTGACGTCATCTACCAGCGCCGATATTCTCGTCCTGACGTCATACCCCGGTACCAGCCGTGACGTTGTCAGAGAGTGTACTAGCCTGGCGGCGACGGCTCCAGCGAAGCGGTAGTAGCAGGGACAGCCACGGCAGGAGCAATGGCTGGGACAGGGCCAGCCCCCGGACTCCCGGGTGCAGGAGCGCCCGTGGTCCCGGGTCCTGGGGCTGGCATCCCGGGCAAGAGCGGCGAGGAACGCTTGAAAGAGATGGAAGCGGAGATGGCCCTGTAAGGCCCGCAACACAACACATAAAGGCTACCCTTTAATCAGAGCCCTCAAGTCCTGGCCTCCACAGGATATATATTTCTTTCATGGGGAAGTAAAACCTTCGGGATTGTGGAGCTGGAAATGGGAAGAGGTTGACAGACGTCAGACGTGAAGGCGAGTTGTCGTGATTTGCCAACCCTGATTTCTGCTATATACTCTGTTCCTACAGGTTTGAACAAGAAGTTTTGGGGGCTCCAATAACTGGTATTCCAACAGCTGTACCCGCGGTACCGACTGTTCCCACGGTAGAAGCAATGCAGGTCCCCACAGCGCCTGTGATTCGCCCAATTATAGCAACCAACACCTACCAGCAGGTATGGCCGAGCTAAAGAATTTAAGTCAGGAAGTACAATGCCTAGCACTCAGTACAGTTTGTATACAGAAGGTATCTATATCGACTTAGTAATTAGCAAGACAAATACTGTCTTGCTAATGTCATAAACTAGTTTCTTCTGCTGTTTTATGTGTTGGATAACAGTAATGACTAAGACCGTATTTCTGCTCCTTGGAAATGTATGTTCTAAAGCATGTTGTCCAGTAAAACGGTCAACAACGGGGGAAATACTCTCATTTATTCCATACTTATATGTAAATGAAATAGTTCCTTAGTTGTATTATATTTTATATTTTAGCTAGCTAAAGTGACTAGTAGAAAAGGAGTCTATTAAAAATAAAGTTAGTTGACATTCATACAGTGTGTTAAATAATTATTGAGGGCCAAGTTCCTCCATTGGGAGTTGCACTGATAACCTAAAGGTGGTGCCTCTCTGGCCATGTGAATCCATCAGCAACACCTCGGCAGGAGAAGGATGAATAGTCCTCCCATGTGATTTACAGCCTCAAAAACTCACTGGGGGTCAGCTCGGAGTTTCTTCCAACTTGACAGCAATGAATTTTGAGTTGCAGGAGCTCTAGTGACATGAGTTAAGTACTGGGCTGTTATCCCAAAGATCAGACCTTTGAGGGAGCTCTGGTGGCCTAATGGCAAGAAGCTGCACTGCAATCCCAGAGGTATGCAGTTCAAATCCACCAGAAGCTCTTCTGGAGTAGGAGGGGCAGTCTCCTCCTATACCAGTGAGATCCAATTTGATGGTACACACACTAGAAATAATAATAAAATAAAATAAAAATTTAAAAAAAAGATCAGCCCTTTGAATCCACCATCTGCTCTGAGAGTGAGAGAAATCAAAAACACTGTGAGGAAGCTCTGCTCCTACCTGTGGGGTCACTATGAAATGCAGTCAACTCAATGGCAGTGGATTAGGTTTCTGTGCTTTACATAAAGAGCACAGAACAAGAAAAACTGCTGCTGCTTTGGAGTTTGCAGGAGCTCTGGTTGTTCTCTTTACCCAAAGGCTATGCCTCTGTGGTTCAGATCTACCAATGTCTCCAATGGAGTAAGATAAGTAATTTCCTGGGCCTATTTACTGCCTCAGAAACCTACTGGAGGGTCAGCTAGCTATGAGTTGCGTTTGACTCGACAATAGTGAGCTTGAGGGAAACTAGACCACAGTAGGGTAAGAAAAGAAGAATTTTTATCAATGTAGTTAGAGAAGTTTTTTCTGAAAAGGTAATATTTAAATACAGAAAAGAAGAGAAGTAGAGTGGAGGGGAGGGAAGCATGTAGATGTGTGGAAGAAAAGCACTCCTAATGCAAAGGACCTGTTGTTGTTTGTGTTTTTTTTCCGCCCCCGCCGCCCCTAAAGGACCTGTTGTTAAGTGTCAAGTTAAGTATGATTCGTAGCGATCCTGTGAACAACAGATCTGACCCCTGTCCTATCCTGTGTCATCCCCACAATCTCTAACATACTTGAGTCACTGTGTCAGTCCATCTGGTTGGGCGTCTTCCTCTCTTGCCATTCCTTCACCTTGCCAAGCATCCCCCTCCAAAGATAAGCCTCTTCTAGCAACATACTCAAAGTATGTGAGATGAAACTTCGTTTGTCATTGCCTCCAAAACAGCACTCTGGCTGCACCTCATCCAAGATATATCTGCTTTTCCAATCCAGGAGATAGTCAGTACTCTAGCATCACAACTCAAAAAGGCATCAGCTCTTCTTCTGTCCTCCTTATTCATTGTCCAGCCCTTAGGAGCATACCAAGTGATGGAAAGACCGTGGCCTAATTCAGGCTCAGCGTAGTCCTCAAACTAACATCATTGCTCCTCAATAATTTGAAAAGGCTCAGGTCCCAGTATGATACATCTATTGATGGGACCTGAGGCAGATGCGTATCTGGCATGGTCAAGGACTGTCAGGAAAGTTGATGCATCTAGTCTGTTACTACTCATGTAGTGATAGACAAGGGGAAACATGGGAGGAAATGAGGCAGAGACATGACAGACCAGACACTGTAGGGCCTGGGGTGAGGAACTGTAAGGGTCTCTGTTTTCACTCTGAGATAAGAGATACTACAGGATTTTGAGCTAGGGGTAATGGAGTCTAACTTAGATGTTAATAGTCTGCTGTCTGGAAAATAGATCACAGGGGCCATCGGCAAAAGATACGTTAGTTTGGATCAAAATAGTGACATGGGAGATGGAGAGAACAAGATGGACGTAATTTTAGATAGTTAAATGGGGGACAGAGGGAAGATAAAGTTGCTAAGAGAAGTTGCTACTGGGAAGGAGTAAGGACAGCTTTGCTTGTTTGATTCTAAAGATCTAAGAAGCGTGTTACCTAAGATCTGAAAGTTGACATAGAACTAATCCCACATAAAATGAATAGAGTATATAACTTTGGCCTCCTGGCATGGGGCAGACAGGGCAGACTAAGGACCTGACTCTGGATCTTTACCCAGTCCTCCACCCTTCCAGGTTCAGCAGACTCTCGAGGCTCGGGCAGCCGCAGCAGCCACAGTGGTTCCTCCCATGGTGGGCGGGCCCCCCTTTGTGGGCCCAGGTAAGTAAGGAGTGTGGAGTGGTTGAAGCTTTAGACAAGTGGTAAAAGGGAGGCGGTCTAGCATTCTTGTCTCTCTTCTCTCAACAGTTGGCTTTGGCCCTGCTGATCGGAGTCACCTTGATAGTCCAGAGGCTCGAGAAGCCATGTTTCTGCGGCGAGCAGGTAAGTGTGGTTTAGGAGCCCCACATTTCCCTCCTAAACTCAAGGGAGCTCAGTGGCCTAGTATATAAGAAGTTGCACAAAGGCAAGTGGTTCAAATCCACCAGCTGCTCCTTGGAAGAAAGATGGGCATTCTCCACCCATGGGATTTACAGCCTCTGGAAACCCACCAGAGGGTCTCATTTCCCTAAAAACAACAAAGACATCTCTGTAGTTAGTCAGGTTTCCCTGTTCTAAATTCACCCCCTTCATTTCATTCCTCACCTTCATACTGTCCCCTTCGTGAAGCACAATCCTGATCTGTTCTGTCACTTCCTTGCTTATTTCAAGTAATTTCCACTCTTGTGAGGCTTCCCCTCGTCATGCAAATTGCTCCACCCTCAATTTCACTCTAATCTGTATTTTTTAAGCACATTTATAATTTCACTAGCTTGCCATGAATTAATCTAGTAGATTATTCTTTGTTAATCACGTTTTAACACACAATTCGATTCCTTTACTTACCATGATCATTTACTTTAAAAGGTAAGTTCTATGAGGGGCAGGGGTCTTGCTTACTGTATGTAACACAGTAAGTGATACACACTGTTTTCCAATCTCTCCACCCAGCATTGAAGGCCTTACACAGAAAAAGACCCCTCACTTCCTCAGTAGGAGCTCAGAACATTGCTAGGATATGCCAGCAGTGCTCTCATTGAGGTTCCTTCTCTCGTCTCTTACTGTCGCCTACTTCCGTAATCTCCTGGCCTACACTTTCCCCAGGCCTTTCTACTTTTTGCTGTTAAGGTGAACTTTATACATGTAGTAAGGTTTTGTGGAATTCCTTCCCTGTGTGTTTGGAAGGAATGTGTGTTTGCAGTTTGATATAAAATTATGGTATAATTTCTCTTAGATCAAAGTTGTTTTTACTTAACTTTTGTCTTTAATCGAATGGTGTCTGAGACATTTTAACATTTCTGGTGCTATATTCTAGTCTTGATCAAAATACAGTTCTCATCCAGCCACTCTTGCCCAGTATCTAGCCTGGCTTTGGCTCCCCAACTGCCCTCAGGAGGACATCCGTGGCGCAGCCAAAAAGGACATACAAACATGGTGCCCTTTGACCTTTGCTTTACGATGTTCTCTAACCTCCTTCCTTTTATATTCACTCTAAATGGAGAATTGGGTGCAGTTTGCTCACTGATACTCTGCCTGTCTTGACTCTGTCCTTTGCCTGACCAAATCCTCTTTATCCTACTGGTCTTTCCTCATAGGCCTCTCTCTCTCTGGTCACCCTGGCAAGGTCAGAGAACTTCTTTGGGGTCTCAATGGTGGTGAGTCTTTCTGACACTGGACTGGGGCTCCCCGAGAGCCCTTTGTCTCTTAGTGTGTCCGTAGCATTGCCCAGCAGGGGCTCAGCAGAGAAAACCCTCAGTGGTGAAGTTTTGCTGCCTAAACAAATGAACAAAGGAGTTGTGGCATAGTTTGTAGGATGTTATGCTGCTCACCAAAATCTTTCACATCTCCATTGGTCTTAGAAACCCAGTGGAGCATCACTTTGAGTCAGAACTGACTCAACAGCATTGAATTTTGTGAGCTTGAGCAATAGAAAAGATCTCCGTGTCTTCCAGAAGATTCCTGGCCCTCGGGATCTCTTGAATGTTGAAAGTACCCCTAGCCCTGACACACACTTTGCCCACGTGCTCCGGTCCCCCATGACACACACCCCCATCTCTCTCTCCCACAGCCGTGGCCCCTCAGAGGGCCCCTATCCTTCGACCGGCCTTCGTCCCCCATGTGCTGCAGAGAGCAGGTGAGGGGGCCATGGACATCATTACTGTCACATTCCCACCCCTGAGCCCTTCAGCTCCGCTACTAACACTCTGACAGATTCTGCTCTCTCTTCTGCAGCAGGCGGCCCTCGTCCTATGGCCCTTAGGCCACCTCATCAGGCCCTTGTGGGTCCTCCTCTACCAGGACCCCCTGGTCCACCCATGATGCTACCACCAATGGCTCGGGCCCCAGGACCCCCCCTCACCTCCATGGCAGCACTGAGGCCACCTCTGGTAAGTCGACAGCCTGCTGATGGCTAGAGGTGCGAGCAGGGAACCCTCAATTCTGCCCTGCCTGTGTATCTGTAGTATTTGTTGTCCTCTCACTGCTTTTTCTGTCTTAGTATGTGTGTGTATTTGGAAATCTCTGTGACTCTGGTGTTTTGTTTGACCTTAGATTAGTGTCTGTATCTGTATGTCTGTCTCTGTCTGTGTTTCTCTGTGTCAAAATCTGTCCTCTTTTCTGTCTTCATCTCCCACTTCCTTTTTTCAGGCCCTTGATGTGTTATTCTCTGTGGTAGGAGTAGAAGTTAGGTCTGAGCCTATTATCTGGCCCCTCTCTGTCCACAGGAAGAGCCAGCAGCCCCCCGAGAACTTGGTCTGGGCCTGGGCCTGGGTCTGAAAGAGAAGGAAGAGGCAGTGGTGGCCGCAGCAACCGGGCTGGAGGAGGCTGGTGCCGCAGTGGCTGTAGGGGCAGGGGCCACCCCAGCTGGCCCTGTGGTCATTGGGCCCAGCCTACCACTGGCTTTGGCTATGCCATTGCCTGAGCCTGAGCCCCTGCCCCTACCACTGGAGGTCGTGCGAGGCCTGTTGCCCCCACTACGCATTCCTGAGCTCCTGTCCCTACGTCCAAGACCCCGGCCCCCTCGACCTGAGCCACCTCCTGGCCTTATGGCTCTTGAGGTAAGTGGGAAGTGGGAATGTTAAGAGGGGAGGCCGGAATGCATGAGCTTCCACACAGATAACACATGGAGTCCTCAATCCATGGAGATAGAAATGATCTGACAGCCCTAGAAGTTGGAGAGCAGTGGGAGGCAGACATATATAGACCCACATCCACAAGTACTTCAGGTTCTAGAACTGTGCATGCAGGAGGACAAGAGTACAAAGGAAAGAGGAGAGCTTGAAGGAGCAGAGGAGTCCAAATGTCTTCAATGCCAAGCCCTCTCCCTCAGAAACCTATCCACTCCTTCATAGGTCCCAGAACCTCTGGGTGAGGACAAGAAGAAAGGGAAGCCAGAAAAACTGAAACGTTGTATTCGCACAGCAGCTGGGAGCAGCTGGGAGGACCCAAGCCTGCTGGAATGGGATGCAGGTAAGTGGGTGACATCAGGGCTAGGCACTGTGCCACTGTAGGCAGGCCAGACCCCGCGTCCCATCATGCTGCACTATGGCTGGCCCGGCTCATGGAGGGGGGGAGACTGTGGCCCTCAACAGTAGGACACTCACCCGCGACTGGCCAGAACTTGACCTCTGTTTTATTCACGAAGGGACGGACTTGCTAAACATCAAAACTCATTCTTTTTTGTAATAAAATTCAGTGAAACTAAAATATTCCATGAAAAGCGTTTCCAGTGAGCAGCTTAGCAAGGAACACTTCGTTGTTTGCACTCCTGCTTTCGCTTAGTCACTGGAAGTGGACTCTAAACACCACTGCATGTGAATATCTCAGTATTCATCTCTTCGAGACATTCTTTTAAATCATATCATCATTGTAAGATCTAAGAAAATTACATACTATACGGTAACTCACATTCAGATTTCCCCAACTATTTTTCTTCAAATCAGAGTCCAGCCAGAAGTCATATGTTGTCTTTAGTCTTCTATCTCTAGAGTACCTTTTATCACAGACTACTTTCCCTCTTTCTTTTTTTCCCCCCAAGCATCCCAGCCAGTTGTCTTATGAAGGTCCCATCCTCTAAATAAGATTTTTTCCCCCTTCCTGGGTGGTTGAATTTGTTCCAAGAAGCTTCATTAATTATTACAGAAGCTATGGGATGACCAGGACTGTGTAGAAAATGGACCCACTCCAGCCTTTTTCTACCTCTGTCTTCTTGCCTGGGACTTTTCTGCTTGTTCCAGGCCAGCATGGCAGTCCCAGCACCTTCAGTGCCTGCCTTAGAGTCTACTTTGTCATTTGGATAAGTCTACCTCTAGAGAGTAAAAATGGATTTTATCTCATGGAGATAGGGATCCATCAGAATAGAGTATGCTTACTCCAGGCACAGTCCTGACCCAGAGGACATGCCCACAGACAGGCCTGTGATCACTGACAGTAGGTGCTAAGAGCCTTAGGAGCTCTCAGCAGCAGGTTTCTAGGAGACAAAGAAACCCCAGGAACCTAGAGGAAAGCTAGGGCTGGGATGGAAGTGGGGGATTCTTTGTGGGAATGGGTGGATGACCCTGGGGTGAGGACAGTGTGGTCAGGACTTAAAGTGAAGACTGGAGCCAAGTACCTAGATTCATGTCTCACATTTGCTACTTTCTGGTCATGTGACTCATGAGGTGACTTAGCCTCTATGCCTCAATATCAAAGCCTTTTTGGGGAGGAGCAAAACCTCCAGGTGCTTAACAGAGTTTTGTCTCTGTTACCATATAACTGTAAGTTCGTAATACAAAGAGCCTTGGACAGACTGCTAGGAGCATGGCGGGGGCAGTTTTAGGGGGCTGCCTCCAGTAATACAAAGAGCCTTGGACAGACTGCTAGGAGCATGGCGGGGGCAGTTTTAGGGGGCTGCCTCCAGAAAGGATGGGACCATTGGAACAAAGCACACAGTGGGCCGGGCCATGAAAGGCAGGACAGGGCATCTACATGCTCTCTGACCTCTTCTGTCTCCCAACCCCAGATGACTTCCGGATTTTCTGTGGTGACCTGGGCAATGAGGTGAATGATGACATCTTGGCACGTGCCTTCAGCCGCTTCCCATCCTTCCTTAAGGCTAAGGTCATTCGTGATAAGCGGACAGGCAAGACTAAGGGCTATGGCTTCGTCAGCTTCAAGGACCCCAGCGATTACGTGCGTGCCATGCGGGAGATGAATGGTGAGTGAGGTCTCCCCTGAGGCAGTGGATGTGCTGGGCCTTCTCCCTGAGTCCTCCAGGCCTGATCTTGAGCCCCTACACCCACAGGGAAGTATGTGGGCTCTCGGCCCATCAAGCTGCGCAAGAGTATGTGGAAGGATCGGAACCTGGACGTAGTGCGGAAGAAGCAGAAGGAAAAGAAGAAGTTGGGCCTCAGATAGTGTCTGTGGCTGGGCAGCTGCACCCACCTCACAGGGTGCTGACTCTTCCCTACCGTTCTCTTTAGAAAACCCCTCAACTCTACTGACCCACCTTACTCAAAACCAGTTTCAATAAATTTACCTTCATTTCCATCTCTGGCTGGGCCACTTCCTGGAAGCACTTTGGTAAAGAATGCCTGGTGTACCTGTACTCCATGGAAGTGGAGAAGTTGGAGAGTCTTGTTGGTTTTACCCACGCAACATCACAAACACACAACATCCAGGCATTTTTTGAGTCCCTACTCTGTGTGCTTTCCATATTGAACCTTCACACGTGATGCTAAGTGCAGCACAGTCCACAAAGGCAGAAGTGAATGATCATGACAAGGCTACAGCTGAGCCAAGTCAAAGCCCCGAGAACTATGTCCCAATTCCAGCCTGTGTTCATCAAGATATGGAGTCTCTGGGCCCTGCCCTATTACAGTTCACAGCCTTCTAGGCTTGCAGCCATTCAGCAAACCCACCAAAGTCCTGGACTGTGCTGGGGACACAACAGTAACTAAGCTGGTTCTTAGCCCTGCCGTGTGGAAATTCACCATCTGGTGGCAAGAGATGGAAGTGTTGCCAGACAGAGCAAGCCCAGAGTGGTCAGGGTTAAATGAGGGAGTCCAGGGTATTGTAGGAACTCTGTGTACGTGCCTCACCAAATACAGAGGTCTGAGAATGCTTCCTACAGGTTTTCTTGGCCAACCTTGTCTCATTTTCCTGTGATTCTGTCTCCCGTCTCCATCCCTTCCCCAGCATCAGCAGTTCTCACCCCTGGATCTCTCAGTTCTTCACTGCCTGTGCCCATTGCATTTTGCTTGCTATCCATCTGTGTGGGTCTCTCTCAGTGTTTGTAGTTGTCCCTCAACTTTTTGTGCTAAGTTTCTGTGTCTAGAGAGAGCTATTGGCCTAGTGGATATAAAGTTATGCTACCAAACCATGGGTGGGTGATTTTAAACTGTGACCTCAGGCCTGGTTTTAATTGTTTTGGGTAAAACATTCTTCTAAGCGGTATAGCACTGGTCTGTCCATTTGCTGTACAGAGGTCCTCGTGGTTTCTGTGATGCTAAACACTGACAGTGATGTGTCAAATGCGATAACGGACAATGTTTGGTGGAGCTCCCCGATTAAAACAAGCTTGGAAGCAGGAGTGGCATCCACTTCCAAAATAGCTTGCCTTCAGAAGCTCTATGAACTTGGAGAAATGATGAAAGTTCAGGTCTTTCATTCATAGGGCCACTATGAGTCATCTACAACTCGACAGAAAAAGTTTCTGTGTCTCTGAATCTCTCTTCTCTCTTTTTTTCCCCCTCTGCAACTTGACAAATGGAGAAACTGCTGACACCTGAACATTCTTGTGTGTTACCTAACTGCATCCCAGCCATGCCTTCTCACTGTATGGCCCTGTGTTTTAGACCTTACTACTCCTTCACTGCCTGCTTGTCCAGACTTCAGATGCCAGACTAACAGCTGAGACTACCCTGAAGGCAATAGCAAGTCCCCAGAAGCTGAGATAAACCTTAAGCAGAGAAGTAACATTGCAGATTTGTACTTAGAAAGCCCCAAGGTTTCCTTGCTTCTGGAAGATACCTGGGTTTGGGGAGATGGGGCTAAGGATGATAGGTGGGGGACAGCCTTAGGACCCCTTCCTAGGAAAAGGCAAGCTGGAAAGGATAATGCCAGGGGAGGTTTCAGATTCCCTGTTTCCTGTCCTTCCCCCTTTACTACCCAACTCTGACATCACATTTTCCATTCTGGCCTGAGTGTCACAGGGGTGAGGGCCTCCCTTCCCAGCAGGAAGTGCCCTTTGGCCTCCTCCCACCTGAGCTAGACCACCCATCCCCAGGACCTTCACATCACCCCCTATCACTAGCCTCCCTGATCTGACAGCCTGCTAAGGGGGAGGGAGCAAGGATGTAGACAGGAAGAGAATGAATCCAGAAAGGGTTTTAAGTGTGTACACAGACATCTTGAAAATGGGGAAAGGCAATAAAAACAACAGAGGTGAGGTGAGGTTGAGACCAAATGGGCAGAGATGGAGAAATAAGATGGGGAGGGAACCCTCAGATTGGGAAGGACCAGGAAAGCCTAGGTGACAAAACCTGTCTAGAGTTGACAAGAGAGAGGTCTCTGACCCTTAGACCAGACTGGAAAATGTGACTGCCGAATGGAGCAGTGAGGGAAAGAAACAAGGAATTAGACTTCTGGAGAAAGCCTGGAGCTTGATGGGAAAAGAGTTCAAGCCTCTAGGGTTCGATGGGTGATGCCTGGCAGTTCTGAGGAAAATAAAATTGCAACTCAGGGTCCATTCCCGGCCACACTGTGGCCCTTTCAAGTGACTCCCCCTCCTGAAGCTCAGTTTCCCTTCAGTGAAGTGAAATGGACAATACCGTCATAATGTTTCCAACAGCTGAATAAGGGATTCCAAAGAACCAAAGCTTTTGGATTATGGTGTTGGTAAAGAATACAAAATACACCATCGATTGACAAAAGAGTGAGAAAAATCTCCCAAGAAGTACAGCTAAAATGTTCCCTAGAAGCAAGGACGGTGAGACTTTGTCTCCCATACTTGGGACGTGTTACCAGAAGGGACAGTCTCTGGAGAGAGACATAATGCTTGATATGAGTGGACGGTTCACGAATTAAAAGACACTCAGAAATGGGTTGATAATGGCTGCTTATGTGGGCTCAAATGATTACAAGGATGGTAGCATTTCCTTCTGTGTACCAGGGTCACTGTAGTCGAACTGACTGGATGGCACCCAACAACAAATTGGGCAGAAGAGCAGTGTTTACTCCTCTCTACATACTCACTGCCTTGCTTCCCTTCTGCCTTACGAAAGACTCTGGAGAAGGTACTTAGCATAGAAGTTGCCTCAGAGTGATGATGTGAAAATTTGTTAAGTGCTGCAAGTCAACTACCATGACTCAAAGCGACCCTATAACAACACATCTGAACCCTGCCCTGAGCCAGCCTCATCATCGCTGATGCCCTTAAGGCCACTGTGGAGGCTCTTCCTCTCTTGCAGACCTCCACCTTTCCAAGTATGATATCTTTTGAATGGCAAGTGGTTAAAGTTTGAAGCTGGATGAATATTGGGAAATATCCATATAACAAGTTAGATGCTGCTTTTTAATAAGAAAAGAGTAAAGATCATTTACCTAATGTAGTGATGAGGATAGCACAGACTCTGAAGCCAGGCTGCCAGATTGAAAAAGTGATGCCTAGTTAAATTTTAATTTCAGATAATTTCTCCTAGTCTAAGTATTATGTGTATGTATATGTTGTATATGCATTTTTAGATTTTGCTGAATCATTCTAAGCATGTTACAGGCATCAGTATTCATCTAATGTTACATCTATGAAAATCAGTAATTGTTATTCAATTCACACCCACATTTCTCCAGTTGTCACAAATTACTATAACATTTTTTTAAAATTTTTATTTTTTATTATTTTTGTGTGAGTGTACCATCAAATCAGATCTGACTGGTACAGGAGGAGATTGTCCCTCCTTCCCTGGCAGAGCATCTAGTGGATTCGAACCCTGTGCCTCTGGGATTGTAGTTGCAGCTCTTTGCCACTAGGCCACCAGAGCTCCAAATTACTATAACATATAAGGGCAGTCAAAAAGCAGGAAGCCAAAAAAAAAAAAAGCAGGAAGCCTCCCTTAATTTTTCACTTCATAAAACGCCCCCTAAGACAGTGGCTCTGTCCATGTGGCCTAAAAGGAGCACAGCACTCTGGAGCAATGGTGTGTAATCCTGGCCCCCCACTGGAGATCAGGCTTGTCTGCAGTCTTCGGGCTGGTGAGGGCATGGTCCTGTGTATTCCTTATCTTCTTTGTACCTGGCTGCTGGGGAGAAAAACCATACACGGCACAATTTCCTGAGTTACAAAACACATTAAATAACCACAAGAATAGTAACTATTTCCTAAAGGGTTAAATGAGGACACAGCAAAGAGAAAAAAATGTGAGCTATTACTATTACTGTTATTGTTCATTTTTACGACGTTATCATGATTGATATTCTTAGAAAGCAGCCCCAATGCCCTTGGAAGGGAAGAACTTTTAGATTGCTGGGTTTTCCCAGGTCTTCCTCCCTTCATCCCATCTTCCCTAATCCCCCCGCCCCCCCCCCAGACTGTGACGTCGACCCTCGGTGGAAGGGGGCACCGGAAATCTCGCTTCCTGTTGCAGATAAGCCGGCTCAGCCCAGCCAAACAACCCCAGACCCTCTCCCCTCCATGTGGCCGAATCAAGGCCCCCAAACAGAGAACATGTATACACCAAGACCTTAGCCCCGGCTGCCCCCTATCAACTCATACCGCCCCCCACAACTTTCCCCCTACCCACCATTCCCTAAGCCCTATTCCAGGCCCAGGATGCCCCAGTTGTAGGTAACCCCTGTTTCAGGGTTCAGGGCTTCATCCCAGGGCTGGGGTCATGCTGCTCTGCTCTGCCCCGCCCCTGCAACTCGACCCCACTGCAGCCCCCAGCTCTGACGTCTTGGAAAATTTCCCCTTGCCCAGGTCTCGGGGGAGGAGGGGTACAGGGTATGAAATGGGACTGAGACCCCCGGCTTGGGGCAAAGGGACCTGCAAGAGGTGAGCGCAGAGTTGGGAACTGGACATTTGGGTGAGAAGGTGCCTGCAGACCCTGACTCCTGGGTCTTAGGGTGGGAAGAGGGAAAAGAGGACTGGAACCTAGGAATCAGGAGTTCAAATTCCAGCGATCCTAAACGCACCAGCTCACCCGCTGCCCTTTACAGTTTTTACAGCCCAGACTATTCAGAACCGACATCCATGGATTTGAACTGGGACGAGGCATCACCGCAGGAAGTACCCCCCGAAAACAGGCTCTTGGGGCTGGGTATGCTTTGGGGGACTGACACCTTGGGGAGGATGAGGATGCCCAGGTGGGACCGCTATTTTCCCCTGAACTGGCCCTAACCACTCGATTGCCTGCAGCAGGTACAGAATTTGACTTCTGTGTCCCGGAAATGGCACTACAAGGCGACACGTTGACAGTGGAGACAGGCTGGAAAGGTGGTTGCAGCGTGGGACACCTGGGTGCAGGGGGAAAGAAGGCTGGGCCTGGGCGGGGACAGCGCAGAGTGCTGAGATGAAGGCTGGAGGGGTCCCAGGGTTCTGAGTCTCCTGGCGAATAAAGACTGGGTTCATACAGGGAGCGTCCCCAGTTATTACTGACACCCTTCCCTAACCTCAGCTACAACTTATCCTGCACAGGGCACCCACAGCTGGACTGGAGCTCCACCTTGCCGCATTCAGACGCCCCGTGGGGAACAAGTGAATGCGTGTGGAAAGGCGGAGGTACGAAGAAACTCGGGGGCCCTGAAGCATCTGGGTTAGAAGCCTAGATTCTCAAATCTTTGAAAGGAAACAGGACTGGGGCTGGAATTGGGGACCCCTATGTCTTCAAGGTGGTAGGACCTGGATCCGGGTAGCAGCTCCTTCCACCCTCAAATACCTCAAACTGGCTACATGGAGGCGCAGGGGCTTAAAACTTGGGCCCCTACAACATATAAGGGGCCAATGATCTCTTACTTGGGGTCCGTTCCTTCTGACAGAGCCCGCTCCTCGGAGGTCCGGAGACTGGACAGACTGGGTGTACCTCGACTCGGACCCTTGGAGTCCTGCGTCCCCAGCCCTGGTTGCCGCCCCCTTTGCTGGTTCTGAAGGGGTCGCGGGTCTGAATTGTGCCACCTCAGCGGTAGCGGCCCCTTTGTGGTCGTCGGACCCAGCGGCGAGGAGCTCCAGCAGCTGGGACTGCGCCGCGAGCTGGGATTGCCGCTCTCCCGGCCCCGACGGCCCCGCCTGCCGGCCGCAGAGCCTCGGCGGAGGCGCGCGTGCGGACTGTACCATTTCCGGAGACGAGCCTGCGGGATCGGATTGTACCACTTCCTGGGCCCAGGGACTGCAGCCACAGTGTGCCAACTCTTCAGAGGGGTACCCGAGTTCAGATCGTACCACTTTCTCCGGACTGAGCTCGCCGTCAGGCCGAACAACTTCGACTCGTTACTCCAAAACTAACCACAGAGGTGAGTCAACCGAGACACGAACCAGGAAGGAGCTGGGGCCTTTGGGGTGGGGCCGTGGGGTGGGGCTTAGAGATTTTTAAGAGGGAGGGGCCTGGGGCGGGGGGTGGGGTTTGGAGTCCTTAAAACTCCAGGGAGGTTGCCCAGTGGGTGGGAAGAAGCCTTTGGAGCTGGTGGGTTCCAGGCGGTTTCTCTGAGTTTTCCAGCTATTAAGAAAACAATTAAAAAACAAACTCATTGCCGTTGACTCGGAACCAACTCATAGCTGACCCTCTAGCGGATTTTCTGAGGATGTGAAAGCAGGAGGGACAGCGCACTCTATGAGGTGGACTGATTCAGTGACTGGGGTAATAGGGGTAGGTGTGTCGGAGACTGAAATTGGCACAGGATAGGGCAGAGTTTAGGGCTATTGTACATAGGGTCGCTAGGAGTCGCAGACGATTCGACGGCACATAACAACAACGAAAGCAGGAGATTGCCCATCTCTCCCACGGAGCCACTAACGAATTAGAATTTACCGAGAGGCCCCGCCTTTGGGCTATCAGCGCCAACTCCCTACAAGGCTAAACTAAATCTCTGAGATAGGGCGCTGGCAGGAAGGAGCGAATGCTATTTCCAAGAAGGGGAAACTTGATCTCACATACTTTGAACATGTTGTCGGGAGAGGCTCGGCTCGTTCTTGGAAAAAGACCTCATTCTGGGGAAAGTGGAGGGAGGGTCAGCGAAAGAGAGGAAGACCCTCAACAAGATGGATTGACGCAGTGACCCACGGTGGGCTCGAGCCCGTTGATCCTGGGGGTGGAGCGAGATAGGCAAGGTTCAGAGCTGTTGTTTGCAAGATCGTTATCGCTTCCACTCGAGGAAGCACTCAAGTTGAGAGGACGCGAGAGGACGTTCTCAGTCCTGGAAGCCGGGAATCCTGTAAGTTGACCTTCTTCCTCTTGTTCTTCTTATGCGCTCCTTCGAGTCCCCTGCAACTCATAGGGACCCTTTGAAGCCTGCCCTGTCCTGAGCCAACCCCCATTGTCCCAGTTACTGTATCAATCCATCTCATCGGGGTCTTCCTCTCCGGCGCCATTCCTCCACTCTTCCGAACATGATGTGTTTCTCCGAGGACCGATCCCTCCTGGCCACGTGCCTAAAGTACGTGAGACGGAGTTTCAAAATCCTAGCCTCCAAGGAGAAATTTGGTTTCACCTTCTCCAAGACTGACTTGCTTGTTTTCTTGGCTGTCCATGGTATGTTAAAGACTCTCCTCCAGCACCACAACTCAAAGGCAAATGTCTTCCTCATGGCAGGTCCTATTCAACTGTGGCAGTTTCTCCTGGAGCTGCTCCGAGACGGGGCTCGCAGCAGCTGCATCCGCTGGACAGGGAACAGCCGCGAGTTCCAGCTGTGCGACCCCAAAGAGGTTTGGCCGCTCCCAACCCGGCCTAGCCAAATCCCGCCCCTGCCCCCTCTAATTCCACCCAGCCCCTCCCAGCTCTGCCTCGACCCTGGCCTCAACCGGTGCCATCTCCACTCGATTCACACACACCCCAACCTTGGTCAGGACTCTACCCCGCCCTCCTCCAGGCCCACCGGGGAAAGCCCCACTCCTTCCTTGCCCTGAGTAAGCCCTGTCTGGCCCCTAGGTGGCACGGCTGTGGGGTGAGCGCAAGAAGAAACCCGGGATGAATTACGAGAAACTGAGCAGGGGCCTGCGCTACTACTACCGCCGTGACATCGTGCTGAAGAGCGGCGGGCGAAAGTACACTTACCGCTTTGGAGGGCGCGTGCCAGGGCTAGCCTAGCCCGATCGCACTCGGGCAGACAGGGAACATGGACCTAGTAAAAATCATCTGTCCAACCTTGTCTCGTGTGCTGTTCTGCATCCTTCTGATGCCAGGTAGCCTATGCGTGCACCTTTACACTGGCTCCTTCCTCTGCTGTGCTGAGTAATCCTGAGACAGAACAGTTTCTTTTATGTGGCATGCAAAGGTGTCAATTCCAGTCATATAAAGAAATCAGGCAACAATGAATAAATGTAAATCCAAAATCTCTGTAAATGTTCATTAAAATTTAATAAAAATTTTAGAAAAAGAATTCTGATCAAAAGAGGGGAAAAAAAAAAAAAGAAATCAGACCCTAACACTAAATTGTGACTTTATCAACTGTAGCCCTTGAAGAGAACTTAGAGAGGAGCTATTGAAAAGTTGCTGGCTTTACTCTGAAACTGGAAACCAGGGAGTGTTTCTGGATTGTGGAGGAATGTTATCTGTCATAGGAAATAGTGGAGGGACAGCAGGAAGCTAGGAGTTTGGGTGTTGTTAGGTGCCCTTTGAGCTGGAACTTACAGCTGAACCTCTGGAGAGTTTTCAGAAGCTGTAAATTGAAAGGAGATTGCCCATCTTTCTCCAGTACAGCAGCTAGTGCATTTGAACCACTTGCCTTTGAGTTGGTAGCACAACTCACCCAGTGGGTCATCAGAGCCTCTGAGAGTAGGCTACAGCAATACTTCTGGGAGTTTTTAACTGTTAGGTGTCCTGGAGTCGACCACAACCCATAGCCACCCTATGAACAGCAGGTCTGTACCCTGCCATGTCATGTGCCATCCTGATCTGTTGCAGACCGAGGGTCCCAAAGAATGAAATAATTTTATAATTATTAATTATGAGACAGACTACCAGGAATGATATAGAACAGAGAGTGTGAAAAACAGGGGGCCAACAGTTCCCATGACTGAAGGCCCCAAGTCATGCTTCTCTGAGTATTTATTTGCAATCATAAGGAAGGTAAACAAAGTAAAATCACAAGGAAGTACAAAACAAAAACAAAGGATAATGGTGAATGAAGTCTTTTACAGATAAGGCCAAGTTCCTCTTTATGCTAATCTCAAGAGGGAGGGATTCATTTGACACAAACTAAGAATAATGTTGATTCCTAGGGAATGCCCCAGTGCCACAAGGTGACCTTCAGCTTGTATTAAGCTTCCCTCATTTCCCGATACAGCATTTAGTCTACTATTATTAAATTTGATATTCGGCTTCCCTCACTCATCATTTCCGATATACTTGGACCCATTGCCATAGTCTTGTGTCAAACTATCTTGTTGAAGGTTGGCTAACCCTTCACCTTTTCCCAAGGCTTGGTCCCTCCTGACAACTTGTCCAAAGTATGTGAGATGAAACTTTATCATCTTTTGTTATGGCAATAATTCTGGCCAGAGGTGATAGTTGAAGGGGCAGCATAAACCCCATTTTTTTTATAAACCCCCATTAGCGCTGGAGGCAGAAGCGGGCCATAATTCCTGGTTTAGGGCAAACACGAGTGCCCCAGGTAAAACCCAGTCTGTCCTTGAAAAAGTAAGGAATTAACTAGTGTCTACATGACACAAAAAGAGTAAAGGCGAGCAAAGTAACCAGCCCATCAAAAGCCGACCAAATGACTGACCCCTTGGCCCGCCAATCTCTTTGCCTTAGCAGGGGCACCCAAGAAAAAGCTATAAAAGCAAGTGGGAGGGAAAACTCCAGGCTTTTTTCCCTTCACCACCTTTCTGAGGAAGGTGAAAGAGCCTCCACGCGTGGAATAATTAAACAATAAACGCTCTTGAAATTTCAGACGTGTTTCTGGATTTCTTTGAGGGGCATTTCGTGGGCACAACAATAGTGACTTAAACCAGATATTACAAGGGGATTCTGGATATTTTAAGACCAAAATAAAACCATTTTGTTAGGCTCTTCGCAGATCCAAGTCTTAATGTTTTGTTTGTTTTATATTGGTTTGCATACAAAATATGTACACACTATGTTTTATTCATGTACATTGTGCTTCATACATTTCTTGGTTCACAGTCTTTCATACAATCATTCACACCCACACACAATGTTTTATAAAATTAATCACCATTGATCTATGCTCACTATCCTAATCCCTTCACCTCCTTCCTCTGTCCACAAAACTCTGTGACCCGGCGATTTCCCTCCCTCCCCACCCTCAGTCAGCCTGTCCATTCCTCTTCCTCCTTTGGACTTTTATCCACATCCTACTGGTTATCTTTTTTGTTGTTGTTGTTGTTGTTAGTGGTCTCTTTAAAATTTTTATTATTTTATATTTGTTTGCTCACAAAGTTCTTATAAATTCATTGTTTCACACTATCCTTCATTCACATTGTGTTTCATACAATCATTCTCATTCATCGTATTTATGAAATTAACCAACATTGAACTATGCCCACCGTCGCCCTTTCTTTCCAGATCCCCGCCGGATTTTTCCCGTTTCTTTTATTTACCCCTACATCCTTCCATCAACTAACTCCCCACTGGTGGATACAGATTTTCTTTTTCTCAGCAACCCAAATCTGTTCATTTGTTATTCCTAACACTTAGTGAAGAGACTAGCAAATAGTAAGCACTCAATAAATAGTTGCTGCATAAATAAACATATTTATAAACGTATGAGATATTCTTCCCAGGGATTATTCTCCCCAGAGCCACTTTTCTTCAAATAAAGACAGGAAGATTAACACGTAAGGAGGTGTTTGGAAACTGTCAAAATGCCGCGCATGCTTACGATTGGGTTTGGAGTGATGGTGAACAAGACAGTTAGCCCAATAGGAGGTCAGAGTTTTGGGAATAGGCGGGACCAGGATGACAACAAGTTCCTGAGGGCGACCTCCTCATTGGCGCTCTAGCTGCCCTATGACTCCTCTTTGCTTTGCCTCTTCTCACTTCCGCTGTTCATATTTCCGCTTCCGGCCCCGCACAGACATCTCTTCTGAGGGTCACATTGAGCTGCTGCTGCTTTGAGGGAAGTCTTTAGGTGAGTACGGCGGGCACAGGAATCCAGCACCCAGTCCCAGGGGTTGGGGGACCAGACCTCAGCTTCCCTGAGAACGGAGGGAGGCTTTCGCCAGGTGCTGTCGGGCCTGTGAACCTGTCCGATATTATGTTCCTATTGTTAACGATTATGAAGTGTTTCTTTAGTGACAGACGATGTTCATTCAGTTCCCCTGAAAACCTTGTGATGGAAAGCCATTTTGAAAGTGGGGAAACTCAGGCTCGAAGATGTTATGCGATTTAACTGAGTTCACAAAACCACCAAGATTTGGACCTTGGTGATTGGGTTGCAGTGCTTTTTAACCGCCAGGCCTCGGGCATGACCTCCGGGGCCTCACTCTCTAGTGACTGACACTTCTTTCCATTGAGCGTTGGAAGGGCCTCTGCGTCACCCCCGGTCCGTCTGCACCTCCAAATGCCAATTCCCGCGGAGTGAAGATGCTTTTTAATTCTTGTCTGGGTCCGTTCCATCTCCTCCCCAAAAGACTGTTGTGCTATTCAGACTCCTACCCCTGCTTTGGCCGCATAAATTGAACAGTGGATCTGTACGCCACTGTATAAACCGTGCCTCCTTGGGTTCTCTACCTTGATAGGCAGTTTGGAGACATTATATCTTAAGTTTTTAATCCTGTGTCCATAGAGTGTATAAAAATCAAGGGATGCATTTTTATGAACCTCAGAATTAAGTGTAATACTTCTATTAGAATAGAAGCAGCGACCTCCTAATATTTGCAGCACCTGTAGTTTTGCCGCGGATGCAATATTGAAGTCTTAGATTCTATGCTATGTTACAGTTGTTGAGCCCCGGTGGCTTAGTAGTAAGGAATTGTGCTGCCAACCCAAAAGTATAAGGTTTGGATCCACCAGTTGCTCTGTGGGAGAAAGATGGACAATATCCTGTGCAATTTACTGCCTCTGAAAACCTGCTGGGGGGTCAGTTATGAGTCAGTTTCGATTCAACAGTTGTTGAAGATGTCTAAGTATCATTTTTATCCAGGATTACATGGTTAATAAGCCCGCAATCTGGCATAACGTAATCTGGCTTTCTTTATGATTCAGTGCATTTTAAAATACACATAAGTATATTTTCAGGAAGAGGCTTACAGAAATTATCAGATACCTGAAGGGCTCATGACACCAAAAAAATTAGTGAGATTGAGGGAAAAGGAGCCCTCTTAAAGTGTTGGCTGCTAATTGAAGGATCCACAGTTTGAACTCCCTGTGCAAGAAGAGGCAGTATCCTCCAGTTAGGATTTACAACCTTGGAAACCCAGTGGAGGATTGTCATGAAACAGAATTGACTTGATGGCAGTAGGTTGGGTTTGGGCAATAATAGGGAAGGAATCCTGGTGCCATAGTGGTTAATTAAGCATTTGGCTGCTAACCAAAAAGTAGGCAAAACTCCAAGAGAGAATGATGCTCTGTAAAAAGTGCAGCCTTGGAAATCCTGGGCAGTTGTCCTCTGTCCCATGGACTTTCTGAATCCAAGTGGACTCCCTGGCAACAACAGATTTGGTTTCTGGTTTGGGCATTCTAGCATCCTCCAGCAGTCACCTGTATCATCCCAGTTCTTATGTACTGTATGACCTTGGGAGGTTACTTAAACATTCTGTGCCTCTGAAATGGGTATGGTAACAGTTCCAAATTTATAGAGTGGCTGTTATGAGTAACATGGAGAACAGCACCAGATATGGGTAAGTAGTGTTATTATTTTTGAGACTAGACCTGATTTTGCTAAGCATTGTCCCCAACTCTTTTGTGACTTCCCCATGCAACGTGCCAATGTCATTGAGTCAGTAGATTCTTTTCCCCCCCATTACATGGCTGGTGGGTTCAAATTACAGACATATATTGGTTAGCAAGTGAGTTCTTTAACTTCTGCACCACCAGTCTTTGTTTTTTTTTTTATTTTTTTATTTATTTTTTTTTGTGTGAGTGTACCGTCAAATCAGATCTGACTGGTACAGGAGGAGATTGTTCCTCCTTTTCCCGGCAGAGCATCTGGTGGATTTGAACTGTTCTGTGTTTAAACCTGGATGGGCTGACATTCCCATGTGTATGCACCTCAAGGTTCC